TATAATTAAAACAATATATTGTATCAATAAAATATCTTTTAATAATGATTTGAATGATATTCTAACATGTATACTATTAATATGCAATTAAATGTTTTTTTATGTCAAGTCTGTGAATAGAGATCAAGGCTAACAACTTTAATTTATCGATAATAAGTCACAATAAAGAAAAAAAGGTTATTATTTATGATAACTACATGATTTATATTACCTATGATAATCTGTGATGTTATAAAAAATCACATTATTGCATGAAAAAGATACTATATTACAGTAAAAAAAACATATACTTTTAGAATTATTTATAATTGTGTAGCATCGTCTTAGAAAACAAAGTGTTATTTTTTTAAACGTAGTATATTAATATATGAAATATATAATAAAAATTACATATACATATAAAGAAGTAACAAGTTTTTAAATATTTTCCAAGTGCATATCAAAGATGGAATAACTATAATAGAAGTAAGAATCTAAAGACAGAGTAATGGATAATTTATACAGTAAACCTTTTGCTCACAGATGTTGGAAGAAGGGAACTTCTCTAAATATTTACATTAAGACGTCTATTCTTAAGCATTCAAGCCGCGAACGTGACGTATAAGAACAACAATTTTATATAGCTATAATGCATATTCATAAAGGAACTGTTGCAATTGTTTTCTGCATTATTCTGCATGTAAGATTGGCTATATAGTATTTAACATATTTTATTGATTACATTATATCGCGCGCGAGTTCACAGTCGATAAAAAAAATGTTTTTATATGAGGACCATTATACGAATGTTATAAAGATTATTATAACAAGAGTAACATAAATTTATAATAATAATAATAAAGTGACAATATAAAAATTATGCATAATATATTTACAAATATATATTATTGCATACCTTCTGATACTCAGTCAACATGAAGAAAGGCATGTACTGCAAGTTGTGCTTAGCACTTGCCAACATTAAACGATCTCTGTCAGTGCTGCTGAGAGTAGAATTATAACAGCCAACTATTGACAGATCTGCCAGCATTCTAGTTTGACGATTACTCGCCAAATTATAGGAACATGCCATAAACTGCACAGATATAATAATCTCATTATTAAACAATCAAGCTTTCTAATCTATATTAACATTTCTATTTCTGATCTCTTTATTCAAATAAAATTTCGTTTTCATTGTTTATATGTGTAGCAACAACAAGTCACAAGCACAATGCACTTATTATGAAAGAGGGCATGAAGTTATCTGACAGGAAATAATCGTGTACAAAATAAAAAAGGGAGGTTTTATTCAGATAAGAAACTCTTATCTTAATGTATTTCTAGACATAGGACACAATATATAGATGAACTATATTAATCCATGAAAGAAGTCCACATTACAAATGCAAAATCAGCAAAGATATTGGCTAAGAGTAAGAAATCCTTCTATGCTACGCAATTCTGCAAAAAACTGAGATTACCTGTTCTAAAGTGACATTTTTCCAACTGGAGCCATTGTAACATTGGGGTATATTTGCTTGAGTACCTCCGCACCAATGACGAGCACCTCTCCACGTAGCACCCCTTTGCACATGCTTGAATTCGGAGAGATATCTCGCGACGGGATCTCTTATGATAGTTAGGTAAAAGTAACGGCGTTTGATGCCTTCCCCTTCGATTTTATTGAGCTCTGTATCTACACAATTCGTCAATTCGGTCCAATCCGCGTGTAGACCGCATTTCCAGCCAGTAGAATATCGCGAAAATAACCAATTTTCGTTACGATTTGGACGGAAACAGAAGCAACGCTTTCGTCGTCGTTGACACGAACACGGTCTTTGTAATTCTAAGTCTCGTACCAGATGTTTTCCAAATAATGTCCCACCTTTCAACAAAATAACAGTATTAGATATCTTGCACATAACAGATATTTATATTATTAGTCTAAATTAATAATAACAAAATTTTTTATGCCTAAATTTATTCTTAAACTTTACCAATTTTTATTAATTTTTATATATAGAATATATTTTATTTTTTTTAAATTAAATATTTTGAAATTAAAACTTATAGCAAGTAATATTCTAATGAGATGCATTTTTACAAAGGAAAATTTAGGAATACAAAGAGAAAGAAAAAATAGAAAGGATGTAAGCATATAGCATACTAAATAACTTCACTGAATTATTCTTTCTTTCTTTCTTTCTAAGATAAGGCCTGGGGATTTGAGTATGCCTGATGAATAATGCAATAATTCAAGTGTACAATGGCCAGAAGAGAAGTAACATTGTTTTATTGTTTTACTTTTGTCTAAACATACACTAAAAAAATCTTGGTATGGAAGAAAAGAAATATATTGTAAACATTTTAATTTTTGCAAGTTTTATATTTATAAATTTATTTATTTATATTAATTCAATTTGACACTATTTGGATAAAAGATAATTAACATAAATAATTTCTTTAATAGAACATATTTCTATTAACATTTATAAATAAATAAAGTAAAAAAAAGTAAAAATTATGTATTAAAACTTTAACGTAAATCATTTTACATGTTCAGCACTTCAGCAAATTTTTTAAGACTTCAAGAAATAGATGTAGTAATGGAAAGAAGATCATTTGGCTCTTGCGTTTAGACAATATACCTGGACAATAAATGTAGTTTCCGCGTAAACTTACCAGTTTTCTGTATATGCAAAAAAACCATGACATCGTGAGCATTAATATCAAACTGAAAAGTGTCATTGGCGAAAACATCATCGTAGCCCAGACTGCCCTGGATGCTCTGTAGCTTAAAGGCGGGATGCACCGAGAGCAGGCCGTTTTTATCAAACTCGATGGACACGGAAGACAGTGCGGCGGAGCCGACGGGGACGGACAGGCTCTCGGATACCCTGATGGACTCTTTGATCTCGCGATTGGTCAGGGCGCACACATGATCGGGACAGAAGTAGCCCAGGTAGACGATCCCGGTCAACGCCAGAAACAGGCATATCCCGATGATGCGGCGCAAGCGGGCCCTACGCGGATGCCGCGACTCCATCATCATCGTCGTCGCGAACCTCCCGTCGCATAAGTTCACCTCTCGCAGCACCACCTCCTCCTCCTCCACCTCCTCTTCTGACACAACGAGCACCTCGAGCTCGCTAGTGGTAGCGTCTATCCTCGTATCGACACCCGCTCGTCTGCCCATTATCATCCATTATTGTGTCTCGCGTCGCTCCAGGTCTCACCACCTCTCAGTCACTCTCCTTGGAGGACGACGACGCACTGTCATATACCACCGCACGCTGATACGATCCGACCGTAACTACGCTCGCCAACCGAGCGTCGGCCATGACAGATGCTCTCTCCGCTCTCCGACTCACGGCTTCTCGGCTCTCCGCTTCGATCATCCGTAATCTCCCGCAATCCTTGCTCCTTGTCGCGCGCGAAAGAGCTATATAAAAAAAATAGATATAGATAATAATGACCAATAAATTTGCTTTGTGAAGATTATAATTAAATACAGACCTAGATTTTTTATACGTACTGTTTTTTATAAATTTTATAACACGAATTTTTATAGATCATTTCTCTCATCCCGATTATGTATAATTAACTTCCTCCTCTTGTCACGAGGATTTTCTGTCTATTTCATTTTACAATGTTTCATAACAAGAAGAGATCGCCTTTTCTTTCAAAAAGTAAATGAATTGGAAAAATTATTAGAAATCTAGTTCGTAAAAAGTTATTATCAATAAATCAATCTTCGAAAAAGTATAAACTAGACGTGTTAAAAAACCGGCATATATTTATTTATTATTAGATTTGTTCGTTTTGTTTGCAATTAATAAAAATTCCTGCACTCTCTAGAAATGAGATGGATGTATATTCGGGCATTGGAGATAAAGAGATCGGACAATGAGTGTAGAGAGAGCAAACGAAATGAACAAACCTACTGACAATTTGTAGATATATTCATGATATAAAAATTTATAGTGGCGCGGCCCGTCTGGTGTCACGCGTCGAGTATCTGGTTCGAGACTCGATGGAGGGAGCTACGTAGTGAAATCACAGGTACGTGAGTTTCTCGTTAAAGAATGTATTTTTTAAATTGTATTACGCGTGAAAACAAAGTATAAAGTAGGAATGTGCAACAGGTCATAAGAATGCGAAGATACTTGGAGTAGATCGAAGTAAAGGCGAACGAAATGAAACCCCGTCGACGAAATTTGGTACGTAAGCTCCGATAGCGCATGGCGGGAAGGAAACGGAAAATTTGCGCGCCAGAAAGAGAAGGTAAATAATAATTAATATTCATTTGCATGTGTCGTGATAAGATCACGATTAGATAGACTGTATGATCCTTAGAATGTGATTTGCCACACAGACGAAACATATCGTAGATTTAAGATTTAGAAATTTGAGAACATATATATATTTATCTGTCTGTATAATAAAATAACCGCATTTTCTTTCGAATACTATTTTCAAAGGCCGAAATATAATCGCGAATAATTTGCTCGAGCATTCCTATATGCATTTTATGTATATTTATAATTTGTGTATAAATTAATATTTGTGCTCGAGATATAGCGCAGCATTATTTTTCAATCTATATGCGCGCGATTGCGGAGCATGAAGCATATAATCTGAGAATGACTTTTTACATTATGCGAAAAATTAGTAAAAAAGGAAATTAATTGTATTTATACATTCTGTACAGTTTATCATCATGTACTGAAATTGTCGAATAAGAAGTTGCTTCTTTTTGAATTATATATAATAATTTAAATTTGTATGTAATCACGTGATCACGTGGGCATTGCGCGCGCATGTCAAGAGAGTGATGGTGAGTGACAAGAAATAATAACCTCCAAACATTTCTGTCAAACTTACCAATCTCATCGAACCTGAATTTTTAACAACGAGGTAAATAGTCTATAAATGTTATCTGTTATCATATAATTTATGCAACTATATGAGAATATGCAACATCTCGAACAACAAAAATGTAAAATGTTTAATTCGCACGAAATTATACATTTCGTGCGAATTAAATATTTTGCATTTTCTGTTGTTCGATGAATGTTTATTAAAAATATCTGTATAATAATATATATAATCGCATAAAATATACACATTCTGTAATTCTGAACCAAAATTTATACTAATTGAATTGATTAATAAAACACAATTTGTGTAAATAGTAAGTATATTCTAAGAGAAATATAAAATCAATAATGGTGTGTATATTTCATGACTTATCTAGTTATTGTATTTTAATAAATAATGTGTAAAAAGCTTTATATATATTTATATATACTTCTGTATTTTAGCTTTTAAGATGTCATCCGTCAAGTTGTTAGAAGATAGAATTGCTAATTTAGAGAAGCAAGTATATGGGCTTGGTAAAACAATTAGTATTGATGATCCTGCACCGTCAAACACTATCATCGAACGTCTCCTTGATGCCAACTCGCTCATTTCTTCAGCATTGTCAGGCAGAGAAAAGCCAACTGCGCTTATTAAACGGCTGCCAGAATTAAATGGCTACCTGGAACCTGTTTCTGAAGATTTCGATATACCTGTAAGTGCTAAAGCACAATTGCTACTGACGATGGAGCCAGAGATTATAGAGAATGATAATCTGTTAACCAAAGTGCAGGAGCTCATGCCTATCTTAGAGTCAGAACGTATCAAAAATGTGCCTGAATTAAATAGCACATTTAATAAAATATCATTGTCGTATCTGAAAACTTACGAAGATTCCAGAGAACTATGTGCTCACATACACGATCTTTTAACTAAATATAATACAGTCATAAGTAGTATATCAGAATCATTAATTACTTTAGATGCTGCGGTTACAGCTGCTGAGATAGCAGTTAAACCAAAGAAACAAATAGATGATTGAAGAAATAATTGTCTCATCTAATTAATTACATTATTGTTAATTTATATTAGGTCTGTTCTTTATAGCTGAACTTGCTGCACTAGTTCAGAGTTTATTTTTTCTCTTTCCAATGTGGAGAGAAAAAGATAAATTCTGAACTAGTGCAGCCAGTTCAGCTATAAAGAACAGACCCATTGTACGTTTAGTTTCTATGTTATAGTGCAAATTCAGTTTTATCAATAATGTTTTAAATTATTTATAGTAATATTTTATGGAAGCAATCTAAAATGGAAAGAGAAAATATTGGATATGTAATGTGTTTAAAATATGTTTTATTTATCATTTTTACTTGAAATATAAAAATACGCATTTTGCAATGACTATGCATATATGAACATACTGTAATTTCTATAACAATGTATTTTATTAAAATAGTTATATATTATATATACAGTTATCCTATCTACTGCTTAATTCTATCTGTTGTTCATTTCAGAAATCCTTATTTAGGATCTCTGAGACAAACTATTGATTCGTATATAATCGGCCATGTATCGTATATGTATCGGTGTCTCTTGTGTTAAATAATTATTTTAAATCAATATACAAAAGTACATTTTGGAAATATTCGAGACATCACAAAAAATTTTAAATTTTTAGCTTGATTAGGTAATAATTAATTTCATGTATATATAGTAATAGATAGGAATTTTACTTACAAAAAATGTAAATTTAAGAGACCCATTTTACTAATAAACTCTTATACCACATTATCCATAATAAACAATTACTTTATACAATATTTACATAATATTTCCTTAATTATAAATCAGTTTATAATTTTGTTATCCTTCATTTTCTTTACATATGTTTTGTTATAATTTTTGTCGTACAGAATTTAAGTGTTTATATTTATTCTATCGTTAAATTTTTATGGGGGGCAGAAAAAATTTGAGAACTATTAAAAAAAGTAGGAACATAAAAATTAGAAAAAAAGAAGAACGTGAATTTAATTAAATGTATGATTTTTGAGCATAAAAAGAAAGTTTAACCCAAATTTTTCTTCTGTACAATCTTTGTAACGACGATTTTTTTTTTGCTTATTAAAATTGCCGTTCTCTTTTAGTGTACAATATCATGAATAACAGCTTCTCATATATCTCGAAAAAGCGATATAATAATCATTTAGCTTTGCGTTTGCAAAGCTGGCACTGATTCGCGTAACCACGAGAGCGCTGGCTCTAAGCTCGAGAAAATTGCTGGATGATCTCTTGAACATCTGCTATGATAACTTAGTAAGCCCTGTATTTCCCATCTTTCCGGTATACCCTGTGATTCACTGGCACACATTAGTGGCGCTCCTTCGTCATTCTGAAAGCACATATTGAATTGCATTGATGCCAATTAATTGGCAATTTCATTAAAATTCATTATAATGCAATGATAAATACATACACACGTTAATTAATGTATACATATGTACACATATTAATATATAATTATCTAACATTAATTGCAATTTTTCAACAAATTTTTATGTTTGAAATATAACTGTCGCATAACGAATATTTGCGTATTTGCGATTTATGTAATGTAAAATTGCACGATATTTTACAAATTTTATATTATTCATTTGGACACAATTGTTTAATTAAGAAAACATATTCGTGATTTTTGTAGAGATTTGATATTTTGTTTTAGTATCTTTTTCATTCTCTTTCTCTCTTTCAAATATTTTCTAAATGATAATTATGAAAATGTGATGATGTTGTTTTTCATAATGTTAAGCTTACATAACAAGGGCCTTTATCCGTATCGGTCAATCCTGCGCATATATTGTGTTCCGTGATAAATCCTGGATAATGGCTCGTGGCATTACATTTATCGAAATCATACGTTGGAAGAGACAAGAATTTGAGATATTGTTGTAAATCTATTTCCCCGTTCATAGAAAATCCCCATCCTGCTGTTACGCAAATCTGTCTCTGCTCAATTATGAAAAATTATTGAACATTATAAATATGCTTAATTAAGGGATTTACATATCAGAAAATTTAATCGTGCGGATGCGTACCTGGATAGGCTGTCTGGGAAGACATACGGCGCTAATGTTTCGGGAAAACACTAACGGTTCCTCTAATTCGATCAGGGCGATATCATTATTGTACAGGAACTGATTATATTTTACTTGAGGATAGGGCACGATATTTTTAACAAATTGTCCCTTTAGCATATCTCCACCGGCGAAAAATTGCCATCTATTGTTATCCTTGTATCTATATCAAGTCGAAAAAGTTATATTATGTGATAATATTGAAACAGTATATCGCGCGCACATTTTATGACAACAATGATATTCAATATTACATATATATAAATTATAACTTATATATATATATAAATTGAAATAAAGATTATGTTTAAATTATATAAAATTATATATAAATATTAAGTATTTTTTTTTATCAATTCTTAATTACGATGCGATTTATCTCGTCATCCAATGATGTCGCGCGCACGTTTATTTATATCTTATACATTTAATTACCTGTAAATACAAGAATAACTGGCCAGAGCGTGCATGGGACCGAGTATGCTGGCTGTACAAGCGGTCCCGTGTTTTAGCTCCTTCAATAGAGCCACGCTGGGCCATTGTCCATCGTTGGCTGGCGTCCCACCAGATAATCTCGCGGACGATCCTTCAGCATCGTGCAGACCGCACGAAAATTCTTGGCACGACACTTGCACAACTTTATCCGACACGCAAAATTCTACTTGCTCTAGATTCGTGACTAGCGGCAGACGGTGATTTGGATTCGTTTTCAGTCTTAGAATTTTCTCGCTCCGATCTTTTTCCGCAGACAGTCGAACATTCTTAGTTGTCTCGGCTCCGGCGAAGCCCAAAGTCCGACAATAGGAATCGCTAAATTCTTCGCTCCATCCATCCGAACAGACTAGTCGATAATCGTTGTCATATTGTCTGCATAAATATATGATAATATTAACATAGTTTATTAGCGGTTTATAAAATCTAAGATTAGTAATCCTATTTCGCAGTTTGCGGAATCTTTGATTTTCCAAAAATTAATTATAAATATTTATTAATTAACTCCGGCATAAATCAAATCTTTGTTTTTATTTGAAAAAATTATAGTCGTGTATACTTGGGCACAATTTATAATTTTTTATAATTAAGTTGTTAATTCGCGGCTTCGAAATTAATGAGATAACATAGAAATTAGAAAAAAGCAAACGATTTATATTCATTATATCTATTTGATGTAAATATACCTTATCTTCAACAGTGACATGCGATCACTCGGTTCGCTCGCCATATTATTTTCGGTATTAATATTCGTTTCCGCAGTGATATTGGTAATTAGACAACCCCATTCGTCTGAATAATCCGGACAATTTTTAACGCCATCGCATCTTTGGATCGAGGAAATGCATCCACCGGTTTGACATTCGAATTGATCTAGACCGCAATCGCACAGCTTTTCGTCTTCTTCGTTTATGCATTCGGCAATTCCGTTGCAACGCCACGTTTGTGGGATGCACCACTTCTCCGTTGGACATAAATACTGATTATCTTTGCAGCTTTCGCTGCAATTGTATTCATCTCGATATTCTTCGCAATCAGGTCGACCGTTACATTGCCATGATGCCGGAATGCATCTCCCTATAAAATTGAATTTTATAATTACATTCAGATTTTTTAAATAACAATTTTTTCATATATTTAATACTTTAATCATTCATGTCAGCCAAGATTATTATTTATTGTATATTATTTCATATATAGAATATCTCAAAACCATTGGATGCTTCTTTTAATAGCAAATTTTCTGCTGAAAAAATTTGAAGTTGATTTTTTCTTAGCAGAAATGACGATTTTTGGCAAGTTTCTAATTTTTTTTATTACATATCTTCTATAATTAAAACTTAAACTAAATTATTAAAACAAATTCTATTTGAGAAGTTAACTGAAAAATGTAGTTTTATTAATCTTTTGATTCTACGAAGTTTAGTTTATGAAAAGTCTTCTTTTCCAATTACTTATAACTTTAAAATTATTGATGTCTCGACATTTTTTTTTTTTGAAAAATCAGAAATTGATCGGAGAATCTGCTAATAAAAGAACATTCATTGATTTTGATACGTTCTGTCTAATTCGATATATAAATAATTCGATCTCTACACGTCACTCACCGCTTGGACATCTGAATTCATCAGATTGGCATTTCCAATTTTCGCAATCGCGCTCGTCGCTGCCATCATCGCAGTCCACGATCTTGTTGCATACAAAGTGCCTCTTCAGGCACTGTCCGCTGGCACAGCGGAAGTTACCCGAGCAATCTTCGCAATTTAATTCGTCCGAGCCATCGGAACAGTCATTCTTGGAGTCGCATTTGGCGGATAATGAAACGCAGTATGCACCGTCTCTGGACGTGCCGTTGGCACATTGAAATTGGTCGGTGATGCATTTCGAGAGGATTGCATTAGATGCAAATCCCGAGAAGCTGGTGGTGGCAACGGTAGTAGCGCTCTCGACATCCATGTCCATTGGCGTGGTTGGACCAACGGTCAACCGGATCGTGGACAGCTGTTTCGTAACATGATCTATTTCCTCGGCGTCGCCGAACGATTGATCCGAGAGGAAAGTGACAGGTTGTCTAGTCGTTTCGTTCGCTCTCACGTGGGTGTGAGAGAGATCCGTTTCTGGGTCGTTTGTACGACCTTCGATTGCCGTCTCGTTCACAGCCGTACTCTCTTCTGTTTCGAAAGTGCTCGATACGATCGAAGGACGAGTATAATTTCGCGTTTTGACTATGTACGGTTCTGTGACTGGTACCGGCTCTATTATCTCTTCCGACACGGGTATAAAGCTGGGATAATTCTTAGGTTTTGTTTCCGTTATTACTCCCTTATTTTCGATACTGCTGCTTTCGTCGATGTTTCCCGTATTCTTCGATAATATCGGCAAAACGTTACCTTCTCTATCAAATAAATTAAATCGAGATATGCTTGGATCTAAGTCAGAGCTCACTATACTATCGTTCGGTTCCTCGTAATTTTTGGTTATTATTCTCGATGGTTCCGTTTGAGAAAACGGATTATTTGATGACGCATTATTTTCATTGTGTTCTTCCAAGCTCAGGTCTTTCTCTTTTTTATACTTGTATTTGTCGAACCCCTTTTTGTCGGCTATTTTTTTCTTGCTTTCTTGACTTTTCTCCAACGGTATCACTCGGAGTGCCTCTTCGGAAAGTTCCGGCTCGATCGATATCGGTCTCGGTGTTGTGATGAATATTCTGTACGATTCTGTTTCAGGCTGCGTGTCATCCAACATTTCCGTGACCGGTCTGACATCTTCTGTAGTAGTGACATCGTTAGACGAAGTTCCTTCTATGCCATTTAAGACATTCTTTTCTGTCGCAGACATCATAAGAGTAGTCTCAATCTTCGCGCTTTCCGTCGAGTTCTCCATAGTTCTATCCGAATCATTAATATTTTTATCAAGTCCAATTTCCCGGCCGGATTCTACACTCACATTATTCTCGTACATCGTCGTCGCTATCATGCTTCTTTCGGACGATGTACTGTTTATTTCGACGCTGTTAACGTTTTCTTTCTCGTCAGTTATATTTCTTTTTGTTTCATCCATGATATTCTCCGTGGAAATTCGTGGCTTTGTTTTGTCGATAGTTTCTTGATTCATTTCCTTCTCTTCATTCGGTACCATTGACGTTGTCATTAATATGTCATTCTCTGTCGTTTGCAGTTCTTCGGGCAAGATAGGTACTTGAGCTGTGGTCTTCGTTTCTAGCGTAGATTGCGTCGTTGTAATTTGCGCTATTTTATCAGCTTCTTTTTCATCGGATTGGCGAACAATGTTCAGTTGTTCTCTATTATTTTCCTCTCGTTTATCGTTATCGATCACAGTGGTAATCTCAATTTTATCGGTCGTTATTGTTGTCGACATTTCCTGTTGGATTTCCATAGGTAACACAGGTTCTTGAGTAGTCAATTTGGCATCTTCCATCTGTTTTTCCAAAACGCCTTTAACTGTTGTATTTAATAAACTTTGTGTCGCGCTCATGTTTGTTTCATTTTTTTCCTTTACAATGTCGGATGTGGTTGTTGATGAAGGCACGCGATTGTAAGAAATTATAGGATCAATATTATTCAAAATCACTTTCTTGGATCCCTCCACAACTTTAATCGGAATGTCTTTACGAGTATTATCGTGTCGATACCTCTTTGACAAACTTTCATCCGTAATGTCATTGTATTGATCTTCTACAGCATTCTCTTCTGGTTTTTCTAAACTGGTCGTACCACTTTCTATCACGGAATCTCCAAGATCTTCTACTTTCTTTTCGGCAGTAATAGTAGCATCTTTAATAGATTCTGTTTTATTATCTGTGGATTGCATTGCAGTTTGGAAAAATGAATCTATTGTTTCATCTTCTATAACCGATGCTATCGCTTTCAATGCTTTATCATCATCCTCTTCTATAACGGAGGAATTGCTATTTTTCTGATTTACAGCATCTTCCGTTATGTTATTTGATTTCGCAAAATTATTATCTTGATGCAATATGTTATGAATTTTAGATTCTGTATCGTTCACAATCTCGCTCGTATTTAAATCATTCTTTATAATGTTTTTAATGTCATTTGCTGCGTTTGTTTCAATGATTTTTGTAGTTTCCTCTGTGATATCTGTTTTTCTTTCATTGTTTACCAAATATAAATTAACGTCGTTTAATAAATCTTTAGTTTCAGTTTCATTCAATTTATGTTTTACGTCATCCGCATTAATTTGTATTAATGGCCGATGTGTTATAACGTCATCGATATGAGTTTCGAAAGGATTAGGAACGTCCTGTTCATCTTTATCCAACCGCGGTGCTTTTCTCGCGTTTTCTTTCTCCTTATGGATATCCGGCAAGAAGGGTGACATATCCTCCACGTGTCGATCATCATTTGCGTCAGATTTTCCCGCGAAATGATTTATCGAATTTTCTGGTAGTATCGCCGGGTGAAGAGGATGGTTCGTTGAATGTTGAACCTCGTCAGAATAAATCGTATATCCATTATTACCCGTATGAACGATATTTTTGTCATTACGCATTGTAGATGAGTCGATCGAGAATACATCTTCTACAGATTTTTTTGTATTCAAATCGTCTTCGTTAATCGCGACTCCGTTATTTATTTCTGTCGAGTTTTCTGCTTTCAGAGATTCATTTTGTGTGGATTGACTTTGTTCCGGAATGAGTTGTGGAATTATCGCGTGTATCTCTACAGGTTCCTCGGATTTCGGTATCAGCATGATGTGCTCGTCGTCTGGCGGTTTCGTGATAAGTTCTTTCAGTGGCTCGACGTTGTGGGCAAAATTTTTCGGTACTTTAGGAAAGACTGTTGTCGGCATATGTTCGATGACATTTTTCTCATTCGAATCTTGCGTATTAGATTGTAACGCGTGTTCGAATACGTGTTCTTTTTGATAATCAGATATCGGTTGAGTGGACATGTCAGTATAAGTAGTTTCCGGTATCATGGTCGTCTCATATACTTTAGAATTATTATATGTTTCTTGATTTTTATTACTTATGCCATTTATTTCTATTGTATGAAAATATTTATCATTAAGCGTGGTTTTCATTATTAATTCTGTTCTGTTTTCCACTGACATAGTTGACACAGTAGTTGCCACAGTAGTTGAATCGAGTTCTTTACTAATCGTAAAGTCATCGCTCAAATTTATTTCTGTAGTAGAGCCATTTTCTTTTTCTTCCTGAAGGTCAGAACTTTGCGTAAATTGTTCTGTATTTGAATTATCATGATTCCGAGACTTATTTGATATAATATTTTCATCATTATTCTGTTCTAAATTTTCATAATTTAAAGTAGTAAAACTTGCTTCAATAGTTGTACTTTCATTAATTTTATCGTCTTCATTGTTGTAAGATTGCATTGTTGTTGATTCCATTTTAATTTCCACATCACCGTTTGTATCTATAGATTTATTTTTGGATATTAAAGGTATTACTTGCAAGGATATATTATCATCTATCGGATTTTCATTAGTCTTCATAGTTGTAATTAAAGCTTTATCAATTTCGGAATTGTTATTTTCATGTAATAAATCTGCAAGAGATTTAGGTACATTAGTTGTATTCGCATCCTCTAAAAGTGATATTTGTGTAGATTCGGCATCATCATGAGACATTGATTTAATAATAGATTCCGGCTGATTAGATATTTCAATATTTGACTCCAAATGTGATTCTGTTGATATCAGATAATGTGATTCTGTTTTCGATATTACGTCATCGTCTGCTTTATCGATAGTTGTTGCTGATTCTGTGACAGATATTGGTTCCGTAACAGTTTCTTTTTCAGTGATAGATTCTGCTTCAGTAATAGATTCGATTTTAGAAACAATTTCTGGTTTTGCAGAAAATTCTGATACAGGTTCTGATGTAGGCTCTGATTCAACGTTCAATTCTGATTGAGTGGATTCTGGTGGAACAATTAATTTAACAGTAGGTTCTGTTTCAGCAGCAGGCTCTGGCTCGGCAGTGGGTTCAGCTGTAGGCTCTGGTTTAGCTGTAGGCTCTGGTTCAGCTGTAGGCTCTGGTTCAGCTATAGGCTCTGGTTCAGCTGTAGGTTCTGGTTCAGCTGTAGATTCTGGCTCAACAGCAGGCTCTCCAAAAATGGTTTCCATCGAATGATACGAATGTTCGTGATTCTCGAAAATGCGTTTTGTTGTCGGTGTAGATTCGAATGGATGTATTATTTCCGATTTTTGCTCAAGTTGTGGATGATCGGCTTCCATTTTAGGTTCTGATGTAGATGTTTCCGTTTCTATTGATCCTGTTTTGGGATCCGGATTTTCCCACATATTGGAATGTCTGATTTCGAACTGTGCCGTGTTTGGATCTCTGCTTCTACCTTGAACAAAATCATGAATTGCCTCCGTGCTGGATTGTGGCATTACATCGTCCATTTCGACGTTACTCAAGTCGTTATCCACACAAGTTTTACCATCCTGATCTAGTATCTTTTCTGGACTGCAGGTACACATAAATATACCCATGGAATAATCGTATTTACAACTTTCCGGATTTTCATTAGTCTTCATAGTTGTAATTAAAGCTTTATCAATTTCGGAATTGTTATTTTCATGTAATAAATCTGCAAGAGATTTAGGTACATTAGTTGTATTCGCATCCTCTAAAAGTGATATTTGTGTAGATTCGGCATCATCATGAGACATTGATTTAATAATAGATTCCGGCTGATTAGATATTTCAATATTTGACTCCAAATGTGATTCTGTTGATATCAGATAATGTGATTCTGTTTTCGATATTACGTCATCGTCTGCTTTATCGATAGTTGTTGCTGATTCTGTGACAGATATTGGTTCCGTAACAGTTTCTTTTTCAGTGATAGATTCTGCTTCAGTAATAGATTCGATTTTAGAAACAATTTCTGGTTTTGCAGAAAATTCTGATACAGGTTCTTGTGTAGGCTCTGATTCAACGTTCAATTCTGATTGAGTGGATTCTGGTGGAACAATTAATTTAACAGTAGGTTCTGTTTCAGCAGCAGGCTCTGGCTCGGCAGTGGGTTCAGCTGTAGGCTCTGGTTTAGCTGTAGGCTCTGGTTCAGCTGTAGGCTCTGGTTCAGCTATAGGCTCTGGTTCAGCTGTAGGTTCTGGTTCAGCTGTAGATTCTGGCTCAACAGCAGGCTCTCCAAAAATGGTTTCCATCGAATGATACGAATGTTCGTGATTCTCGAAAATGCGTTTTGTTGTCGGTGTAGATTCGAATGGATGTATTATTTCCGATTTTTGCTCAAGTTGTGGATGATCGGCTTCCATTTTAGGTTCTGATGTAGATGTTTCCGTTTCTATTGATCCTGTTTTGGGATCCGGATTTTCCCACATATTGGAATGTCTGATTTCGAACTGTGCCGTGTTTGGATCTCTGCTTCTACCTTGAACAAAATCATGAATTGCCTCCGTGCTGGATTGTGGCATTACATCGTCCATTTCGACGTTACTCAAGTCGTTATCCACACAAGTTTTACCATCCTGATCTAGTATCTTTTCTGGACTGCAGGTACACATAAATATACCCATGGAATAATCGTATTTACAACTTTTGGCGCACTGGAGATTGCCGTGTTCACACTGATCAATAAGATTTTCTACTTGAAGTCTGCTCAAATGATATCGTCCAATCATATTATTGTTTTTTCGTAATGCCTCTTTGATATATTCTTGATTCTCCTCAGGAGTATCCATAGGTGGATGACTTATTCTGAATTTTATTTCACCTTCATTATTAATATTATACACTTTAATTATGGGCTTGTTGTTTTCCCGTTGAAGAATGTTTCCTAGATGCTCTCCTATCTCAGCGGTTATTTCACGATACACTCGTGACTTGGTATCGCTAAAATCGTTGCTCCAATTGAAATCGTCCAGTCGCAGGGTTCCATCTAGAGCATCCGGTATAATTTGATACAGCGTTTCGTCAGTCGTAGGCCACGGTGGGAAAGTCGAGGTTAAAAATGCTGGACTTGACGGCGGATCTTTCACATTTTCCAAGGGTTCCGTGGGCTCTTGTGCAAAGATCACACCAGCTAAAATAAAGAGTTTCAAACAATTTTATTTAATATATCTTATGTAAAAAAAATTATATATATATTATCTTTTATTAATTTATTATATATAAATTAAAGATCTCTAATAAATTTTTATAAAAACAAAATTTATACGAATAAAAGAATGACAGGACATCTTACTTGCGGCCAAAACAATGATAATCATGGCGATCACCACGACCAATATTGTGAATCCGCAGAGTAATTGTTTCCAGTACGAGTTTCTGGACCTTTTGTCCTTCGTGACGTAAAGCTTTTCGCCTCTGTAACACAATTTCGATACCACGTAGAAATACGATGAATTCATAGCGCACATTTAAATATTTTCCTTGTTCTAAACCCAGAAAGCATATTTTGTACAGCGCGATGCTTAGCAACTTTCGTCAGTGACCAGCCAATAAGATTAGAAGCTTCCTCGATACATCACACCTCAGTTTAGTTTCCTTCACGAGTGCCTAATTTCTTGATCATGTTTTGTATGTAACGTGTAGTTTGTCGCGCATTTTCTCATTTGAGTATCTGATTACGGAAAATGATGATAAGACAATGCGAGATTTAGTTTATGTAGATATCATGATACTACATTTTTGATTAAGAACCTCATCGGTTAATCGTCGGTGATCCTTACATTCTGCGATCGAGATCGTCTCATCTTTTTATTTTATTTGACTTTTTTATTTCCTATGAATTCTCGGACGTATAATACGGGGAAACATACGTATTCAATTCGACAGGGAGGAGCGGTAGCGTAAGCGTGTTAATGCGCGACCGCGTGCCCATAAGAAACACCTAAGTATATTCCTCTAAGAGTTTTTTCCCAGCTTTTTTTTTTCATCATCCTCGAAAGTAACCGTCAAGTACCTGAGGGCTGTCAGCCAGTGGGAATAGTCGACCAGTCCGGCGGCAGGGTCTCTCAGGCTGAGTCCCTCGCGGCCGACACCCGGGCCCAAATCAAAACGCACTCCAGCCACGGTCGTTTCAACCTCGGCCTCGGGACCCCTGCCAAGTACCGTGACAACAGAAAAGTACCGTCTAACTCTCTATCGATATTGAGACTTTTCAATCAGTAGCGGCCAAACTATACTGTGCTATCTGCTGGAGCTAAAAACGGTGCTAAGGCATCTCTATTGCTTGACGACTCTCTCAGCACGGAACAGGTATACGCGGTGATATACCTCTCTAGGAAATATATCTCTATTCTACATCTCAAACGTTCGCTATATGATACACATAATGCCTCGCAGTTTGTGCTAAGGTAGATAATTGAGATGAATTTGCGCATTGTTATTACCTTTTATAAGATGTGTTTTTAGTATCTTTTATTTATACAAGCGCGCAAAATTCCGTCTTGCACAAAGTGCAGTTTATATATTATATTTTTACGTATAATATTTTTTATTTAAATTAATTTAGTTTTTATAAAAACTATTTTTAATTAGAAATATTTTATAACTATAACGAAAAGATTTCGTTATTGTTATCGTTAAAAGATCGCATTTGTCTAAAAAGAGAAACAATCATGATAATAATTATTAACCTAATATGTGTACTTGGAGGATGAAGATTGTAAGCTGTACGTTTTCTTTTCCTTTCTCTCGTTGTTATCATGTTTTCTGTTTCTAATATTCGGGAGAATTCACGCACGCCGGGCTGGTAAACAATAGTCACGAAAAACGGTTAATAAGAGTTAAGAGACGAAGACAGAAGGAAAAACAAAAATGCATAAGCGCAGAGGCTCGTTTTCTTCAACAAACAACTCGTTACCTGATGTACTTTCGATGCTCGTTAACCGGCACAAAGTACTCCTCATAAGGATCAGCTGGTACCTCGCAGGCTTCCTGACCTTTCGTTTGGATATTGTTACCCGTGTATGGCCTCATCGAGACCAGTTCCAAGTTTACGGCCTCGATCTGTTCCTTCTTTCCAGATTCTGTAGAAAACGGGAAACCGTTTACTATCGGGATATATCCGTACGTAGGATGCAACCGGTTTGCATTTTCCGGTTGCGCAGCGAAAGAGCAGAGAAACTGCATTCCGTAAAATACTAATGAGGCTAAACAAGATCAAATATTTCCTGTTTCTCGAATGGTATAACGAGAGGAACACAAACTTGCATAAAATATAAAAAAAAATCACGTGTTAAATAAAAAAATAATTAATATGAAAAAAAATGATTAATAATTCGATTAAATTTAAATAAGAGATATATATATAGTTATGTGAAAAGTTGCTATTATTGCCGATACTATCAAATACATACAAATGGAAAATTGAATATCATGAGATGAAAAGCTAGGGATGTGACATCAGAGATACATTAATGCGATGCGCGTCAACGAATTCCGTAATGAAAAACATTTGTGTGCGATACTTTCCGAGATTTCACCCGCCTCAAAAGACTTATTCTCGACAAACCGGTAGTAATATCAATGATGGTAATCAAAACGAAAGTTTTACTTGCTGAAATCATATTCTAAAGGCTAAAATAATAATTTAAAGAGAGTCGATAAGTTCTTCTTTCACAGCGATTTCCATGCTATCTCTTCTCTATTCATAGTGTGTATATATAGTTAGCTTTATTTCTTTTAGAAATATGCAGCCACTTGTAATCTTTTCTTATATCCTTGCTCGTAATATTTCAAGCTCGTAGATATTCGCTTGTATGGTACGTTTATGCCTTAGTGTCGATGTGGCGGAGGCTTATCAGGATACATTTGAACTTACCGTTGACCTGCATGCTCGTAGTGCTGTTGTTGAGGAAACTGGCGTCGTTGTTATTCCCATTTCCGTGGACGCCATTGAGCTTTGGCTCCGGTACGCTTTTCTCCGTGTTCTCGGCCGGCAACTCGATCTTCGTCTCCGTTTTATAACACGGCTCCGAGCTCGTTTTGACGGGCTCAACATAGTGCTGAGAGATGAAGGATCGCTGGCCATTTTCTACCGGCGCGCAATCCGCCGAGGAGGACTTGCGATCCTGATCCAAGGTCACTTGCTGCTGCCCGCCGTTCTCCGTCTTGGAACCGCATTCGTCCTCGCTGGCGAATGCCGGATTGTCCGTGCCGGCGGCATCCGACATCTCTCGATTGTGTCGCCAGAAGCTACTGAGCTCTCACCTAATAACGCTCGCCTGATGTCGTCTGTCATGCGTCTCGTTTCTGTAATCAAATCACATTATTATTATTTATCGCAACAGTCGATTATTTTGCCAATTTATGTTTTCAAAAATGTTGAGTTCTCTAAATTCTATAGCAGAATAGATATACAGGAAGATTATAAAACACACAATAAATTTTTTTTTAGGTACTAATTTCTATTTGTCCAGTATCCAGAGAATGGATCGCGTTAATGGATTCAGTGGATTCGCGTTAATGACGTCAGCGGTAGAGAAGCAGACTTGTATTTTTTCGCACGAGACAAGAGAGGGAGATGTGAGAATTGTGTTTGCGTGTGTGTGCGTGTGTATGTGAGAGAGAGAGAGAGAGAGAGAGAGAGAGAGAGAGAGAGATGTTTTGCCGGCTTATCCTACCGATATCCTCGCGGAACGATTTATCGAACCTGTTTGCCGAATGCAAAAATCAATTACGTCTTAACGCTGACTCAATCGCGGCGCGAGACCGTTGAAAAAGGAGGAAGATGTTTGCGGTTTGATCGCATCGCTGAATTGTTTCGGCTTGGTTTCGAGATGTCATGAGTGAATGAATCAGCGGTGAATCGCGATGAGAAATTTCGTGAGAAACATCCTCGGCCGCTGGTAAAGACGAATTCGCTATACGCCACGCTTGTCTCTCTCTCCTCCTTGTTCCTTGTGCGTTTTCTGCGAACCTCCCATCATCCTCAATCCCTCAATCTCTCGCGAGCGCATAGTCTATTTGGATTATTTTTTTGACTTTGAACGGCGTCGAGCCAATAAACTGACGGGATCTGCCGTCAGGAGAAAAGAAACAATGAGGCTTAGTCCCTTTTAACCACCATAGGCCCGACTATGGAAAGCATCGTCGTTCCTCTCGAAGCAACCACTTCAAATGAATCTCCTCGAACGTTTAAGAGACAAATAAACCATGCTAGCTCTAATGAGCCTTTAAAGCGGCAATTCTCTTCTCGTTTCTTTTTTCGCTGCTCAATGCGCACGCGAAATCTTTTTCTGTTATTGCATTATTATGTATAGTTATGTATAGAATCAGGCGATTGGACGCGTGCATCGTATCGTTATATAATACAACGCGTAAGTCTAATTTGTTTACAAAAAGTAGATACCGACTAATGATGAGAAGAAGACCTTGAAGAATAAGCAAGGATATCGAGTGATTTGAGATTCTCTTCCAACATAAAAATATAAACTTTTTTTACGTTTCTGTCAATCTACTTCATGTTTTTTAATCGATTTCTTAATTATCGTTGATTGGCCTGAGGAAAGATCTCAAGTCGCTTAGCTGTTGTATAAGTCATTTAATTTTAAGACAAAAATTGTTACTTGAATGTATTCTCCTCGCGTAGGAATGCAATTTTCAAGATTCTTCATAGATTCGTTTTATGCATCCACTCGTATGCAAGTAACACAAATTTCTGGCCGCACGAATATAATCTTATCTTTCTAAAGGATGCGGCTCTCGAAGAAGCTACACGCAGCGCGGTGAGTCAATCCTCTATCCAGCTAGCTAGAAGTACTTGACTGTTGGCTGTATGCGGCGATTTTCAAGACACCCTATAGGCACACTCGGGACGAACGAGCGTGTGTTTGCCAGTGTACATATAAACCGTCCGAGGTATATACTGCACCGAAAGTGGTTGACCCTGAGAGAGCTCGGCATAAAGGACTGATTCACCCCGGAGCTAACGCGGAAAGTCCTCTCGAGGAAGGAGCTCGGCGTTTACCCGGCTCGATTTTATGCCCACGATCTTTCTTCCGTGACATAATCTACGCGGGGGGACAGTAGCATATTAATGTTTTCAACATGAGAAATCGCAAGAATTGCTCTCGAATATTCCATGACTACTTTTAATACTTTTTTGCGCGCGGAAAGTCCTCTCGAGGAAGGAGCTCGGCGTTTACCCGGCTCGATTTTATGCCCACGATCTTTCTTCCGTGACATAATCTACGCGGGGGGACAGTAGCATATTAATGTTTTCAACATGAGAAATCGCAAGAATTGCTCTCGAATATTCCGTGACTACTTTTAATATATTATACATAGATCAGGAAGCTTTTTTGCATCGCCTTTTTATCGAATGAGCAATAAATATAGTACAATTATAACAGAATTTTTATTTTCTTTGTCTTATATCTTATTTTTTATTTTCATGAATTTATTAGGAAAAAACTACGCTAATAGCAATTAACAGACAATTTTTTATATTGTGTTATTTGTATATATTAATAGCTCCTGATACTGATTTGCAATGAATGTGCCAGATAAGCACATTAATTTTTAATGCAGTAATAATCTTCACGCGAGGTAACACTCTTCACAATTGTTTCCTTTTATCTCAAACGTGCAATTATCTCGAAAATGATCAATTAATGAATCACAAATCCTCTCTTTTTGCCTGTCAGTATATAATTTATCTTAATGTCTGCTTTGTTACATTATCTTTTTCTCGCGCCATGTTACTATGCGTATGTCCTATTACAAAAGAATTCGATGTATCTTGCACATTTCAGTGAAAGCGTCTTACGTTCGCGAAAAAAAGTGCAGTCATAACATCGCTAAAGTTCCGTATCTCTGGTTTTTCTCAAGGGAGAACTTATAATTAGATAAACAGGCTATAACAAACTAATTTAACGTACGTGTGATTTAACGTATTAAAAATTTACTCCATAAAAATGTTATATAAAATATTATAGTAAGTAATAGTAATAGTATATAAAATGATCATTCCTTTTTAACTAAATTTTATTTCTTGATGCAGACATATATATATCATTGAATATTCTTGGAAAAACTGTATTTATATATAAAATAGATTTGCAAATTAGCTTATAAATTTGAAATGGGTTACAAAGCATACCATTATAATCATATTTATCATATCATATCATATCATATCATATCATAACATATCAGAACGAGATTATTCGTAATTCGTGATATATCAAGAAGAACGTGATTCATCGCGTAAAAATGATATTAAAATATAAAAGCATAATTTTAAAATATTTTTTCTCAAGAATAAAATTTTTATACAAATTTTCGATTAATTTTTTTATAAAAAATTATATTTTTGCTGAGGTTGTACCATAAATTATATTTTATCTTGTATAATATTAATTATAAATGTTTAATAATTTTACGATATTAAAAAGGTCTTATACTGAATACCTAGAAAGGGTTTGAAATAAAAGACATCTCAAAATGAAGTTCGTTAGACAGTCACATTTACTTTATATATAAAGGATAATATTCTTCATGCGATATTCTCCGCTAGATCGCTAAGATAAAAAATTTTAGCTCTCGTGATTCTGCGTGACGTGCTAGAATTAATCGGCTCGAAAGGCGTGTATTCGCGATCGCGCTTGCTGGGTATAAAAGCGAGATAATTGTATTAAAAGTCTCGGGGATTCGCCAGATAAATATCTATACATCGTGGCGAGCAAATCGCCAGGAACGAGTCCATATCGCTGCTAGACCTTTCCGTGAAAAAGGACGAGAAACGTACCGTGAAGTACGCGATTATCCTTGAGCCGAAGAAAGATTCCTCGTCGTTAAAGGACATTCTTCAACGCGACATTGCCTGTAATTTACGAGACTCTCTGATACGACTCGCTCTACCGAACTCGAAGACTTTCACCTTGATCGCAATCGCGACCGAATCTTGCGTAACTTTCTCTCTTTTTAGCATTATCTATGCATACTTGCTATTCGGTTAAACTCAAATTACGCCACGAAACAATACCGTATAACTTGATATATAGATAATCTGCCTGAATATTACATATATGATGTTATATAATGATAAAAAGTATCAATTAAACATATACCATATCAAACCATGCCAAGAAAATTAATTTGTTAGGAAAATAAAATTTGAAATTAAAACTTTTCTTTTAATGTACATTTTTCATCATGGGAATATGTAATGCGTTATTCAAGGCAATGTCTAGACCACTTGAATGTATTGCATTACCCAAGACAACCTCTGTATTAGCATTTATGGACAAAGGGATTACGGTGGAAAATGACCGTAGAAATCACGACAACATGACAACACGACAGGAAGGTATCCACCTTTTCCTGCGTCTGTTTTTAAAACGCTTTAACAATCCATTATTATATTTCTTAGATTGTAATTTACATCTATATGAGACACTCTCTTAATCATTTAATTATATATTTGCATTCGTAAAAGTGATCTGTTCGCAAGCTCTAGTGACATTTGATCCTTGGAAATTTGCATTGGTAGCCGATCAAGGACAATGTTCCTTACTTGATGAATAAAACAGCTGCAAAGGTTGGGTCAGAATTATTATTGCGAGTTGCGATCAAGCTGATCGCGTATTAATAACATAATTTTTTTTTAATAAAAATATATTTTAATTTTTGCAAAATATTTACGATTTTTAATTTACAAGAAAAATGTAGAGAAAATTGGAAAATGTATAAAATATTACTCTGAGATTTAAAAAGACTGGATATTATCTTTTTATATTTGATTGAAATGATATTATAAAACTGACTTTTTATTTTAAAAAACAAAATACTGAGAAAAAATATATTGTTTTATCTTTGTTTTCCCTTCACACTTCGTTGTCTGTCGGACCTTCGGAAACGGTTGAATGTTACCGATGTCCTTAGGCTGGCAAGAAGAGACAGTTTTAGATATCCGAAACGGATTTTTTCTTGCATTTTATCTCGCAAAGCTCCAATGTATCAGCCAGATGTAGCGTCATTTGATACCTCTTTATATTAGTCAGGAAACTGATCTTTTAATAATTAGATATTATATATTATATTGTGAAATAACATAATTTTTTTTTTAATAAAAATATATTTTAATTTTTGCAAAATATTTACGATTTTTAATTTACAAGAAAAATGTAGAGAAAATTGGAAAATGTATAAAATATTACTCTGAGATTTAAAAAGACTGGATATTATCTTTTTATATTTGATTGAAATGATATTATAAAACTGACTTTTTATTTTAAAAAACAAAATAC